TATTCATAGGTAAGACTCCACTCTTCTTCTCCAGCTGGGCCTGAGCACAGGTAGTGTGCTGTGGGCCTCCAAGAGCCTGTCCAATGGAATAAGAAATAAAGGGGAGGGGGCAGCTCTGGTAACTGCTACTGTTGCAAGAAGTCTGCGCCCTCTGCAGGTGGGGTAAGTACTGACAGCTGAGTCTTTTTGGATTCTTCAGAGGCTGCCCAACTCACCTCCTTTGACCTGCTGCTGCCAATATGATAAGCTCTCTGCTTGGAATTCTTCACCCTAGTGAGTTTTCTCTTGGGCACGACTTTCTGGGTATTAGACAGACATTTATGTCACAGATTCTACCCTGCTGAAACAGACTGAACTTTTGACTCAGGAGATGGTGGGGCCCCAACCACCTGTGATCCCAGCCCCAAGTGACAGTGATCTAATGATTCTCTGAAGCTCCTCTTTCTTCTTTGGGGTAGGACACAGAGGCTTCTGCTCATCACCACCACATGGGGACAAAGGTTGATACAGCTCTGTTCTTTTCTAAGACATACAGTTTATAATTCCAACTTGCTTTAATTTGTTTTTGAAAATCTATTTTACTTCAAAGAGAAACAAAATGAAACAAAATTTCAAAATACAACAATAGGGAGCAATAATCGCACATACATTGCACGTTACAGACCCCCAATCAGTCACCCAGAGCACAAGACATCTGCATTCAGTTGTGTGAACAATACCAATGCAAACTTTTCTCATCAATGAACTTGGAGAAAAAAGTTGTATAAATATCTTAAGTGTATACTTATATGTAGTTTCTTTTAGCTTCTCACGCTATTGAGAGAATACAATGTCTACACAAGCATTTCTGTTACGGACACAATTGGCAACCATTTACCTATAAAAATCTCATTTTTACTTCTCTATGACTAATACTCTGTTGTATAAAAGTACCACTTTTTAAAATCTATTACTCAGTCGATGGGCATTTAGGTTGTTTCCAAGTTCTAGCTGTTACAAATTGATCTGCTATAAACATTGGTACACATATATCAGTACGGTATGATGTTTTTAATTCTCTTGGGAAGATACTCAGAAGAAGAATAGCTGGGTCAAATGGAACCTCCAATCTTAGTTTTTTGAGGAATCTCCACGTTGATTTCCACAGTGGTTGCCGCAGTCTACACTCCCATAAACAGTGGAGAAGGGCTCCTTTTTCCCCAAATCCCTTCAGCATTTGTTACTGGTTGATTTCTCAAACCTAGGCATTCTTTCTGGGGTGAGGTAGAATCTAAGTATTGTTTTAATTTTGCATCTGTTTAATAACCAGTACTATTGAACATTTTTTCATATATTTTTTGCTGTTTGTATTTCTTCATCTCAGAAATGTGTTTTCATCTCAGGTACACATTTTTGTGTTGAGTTTTTAAATCTGGGAGGGCTGATTGTTTTGAGTTCTCTATATGTTTCTACAGTAACCCTTTGTCTGCAGTACCAGCGGCAAACATTTTCTCCCAGGTTGTGTGATGTCTCTTCACTCTGTTGGTGGTTTCTCTTGCTGTGAAAATGCTTTTCAATAAGATGAGATCGGAGTTGTTGAATCTTTGTGAGGGTTCATGTGCAGCTGGGGTTTTGTTCAGAAAGTCTTTGCCTACCCCAGATCCTCCAGACTTTTACCTTCTGCATCCTCCAGCAGATTTAATGTTTCTGTTTAATATTTAGATCTTTGAACCATTAGTACATGCGTGAAAACTATGGGTCCAGTTTTAATCTTTGGCACATGTTGAGCCAGTTTTTCCAGCACCACTTATTAAAAAGGCTATCCTTCTTCCAGGGAATGTGTTTGGCACCTTTGTCAAAGATAAGGTGGTTTAGTGTGTCTAGCATTGTTTTTCCATCTTATCTGTTTCACTGATCTTTTTTTTTTTTTTTTTGTCTTTTTCCTTTTTATCGGTAACAGGGATTAAACTCACGACTGCCTGCTTGCAAGGCAGGCGCTTATGGCGCTCAGCTAAATCCCCAGGCCCCTGTTTTACTGATCTTTGGCTCTGTTTTTTTCTTTATTTTGCCAGTACTGTGCTATTTTTATAGTATCGTTTTAAGTCAGGGACTGCGATGCCCCTGGCTTGTCTTTGTTGCCCAGGATTACCTTTGTTATTGAAGTCTCTTCTGGCTTCAGTTGAATTTTAGGATTGTTTTTATTAATTCTGTGAAAATGCTATGGGAACTTGGATTAGGATTGTATAGAATCTGTATAACATTTTTGGAAATATGGCCATTTTTACTCTATTGATTGTTCCTACCCAAGAGTATGAGATATCTATTTTCTAATGTTCTCTTCAACCTCCTTTTCAGAGTACTGTAGTTTTCAATATAAAGGTATTTTTTAATCCATCATTAGATTGTATCCTAGATATTTCCTTTTTTTTTTTTTTGGATGCTAGTGTGAAAGGTGTTTTTTCCCTGGTTTGTCTCTCTGTGTTTGTTATTTGTGTACAGGAAGGCTATTGAATTTTGAGTGTTGACTTTGTATCCATCAGGGTTTCTCTTTTTTGACAGGTTATTTAATTACACCTTCAATTTCACCTAACCATATTCACTTATTAGGATTTTCATATCTTCTTTATTCAGATTTGGTAATTCATATGAGTCCAGGAATCTGTCGATTTCTTCTGTAGGCACCAAAGATGGAGAAATGAATGAGCCAAGATGACTTCCATGGTGTAATGGCCACAAGTAACACAAAAGAAAACGTTGGTTTTAATTATGGTTCTTCCTTTTTCCAGATTTCTGAGAGCACCTGTGCCTTATTCTTCTAATTGAGGAAACTCCAGTCTGAGGATCCAGAGGGCCACATCATCCAAAGGGCTTCCTGGCTCTGCTGGTGGGGTGAGGGGAAAGCTGAATGCTCTCTGCTTCCTTGCTGTGGCTGCCTCTCTCTTTCAGCCCCTAAAGGGTAATGAAAGCCAGATTGCCTCAGATCAGAACAAATGAGCACAACCATCATGAATTCCTTCTGGCTGCTTAGTCCCTGAACTCTAGTTGGTCTGAATTACTATGTTGCTGTACCCTAGCAAAAAGAGCTTCGTTATGTTTGTGTTATGCCAAAGTACCTGTAATGCCACTTACTGTTCTTTATGGGGTTTTTCCCCCCTCTGGGTGACCTAATTGATATGTTAATCAATGCTCCTCTCTGTAAAGAATTGTAAATCCCGGGGAACCTAATCTAATTGATATGTTAACCATTGTTGCCCTCTAGAAATAACAGATGTAGTGTTAAAATAAGCTGACAAAGAATTGTTAATTACTGCTAGACTTCTCTGTCCTCTGCTAAGGGAAACATTTCCTTAGCAGATTTCCTGATCCACACCCATAACCCCTTACTTTGTAAACTGTGATATCTACAAAAGGGCTGTAAGTTTTGAGGGGAACACACAGCTTTTGCAAACTCCAACTGCACCGTGTTACTGGATCCATGATAAAATAAATCAGTGCTGATTTTTTTTAAAAACATGTCTTACCCAGGGCTGGGAATTTAGCTCAGCAGCATAAGCACCTCCCTTGCAAGCAGGCGGTCGTGAGTTCGATCCCTGGTACCGGTAAAAAAGAAAAAAAAAAAAAAAAACCATGTCTTACCCGTTTTTGAACTTCAGGCTGGGCTTTGGGGGACTCATTTGTGGATTACAAGATATGACACCAGATTTGTGTAAGAAAAAGAGTGGTAAGCAAGTCAATAATTTTAAAGTATTGATTACATGCTATCAGATTATTTTGGCTATAGTATCAGGTTAAATACAATTGTTCAAATTGTTGGTCTGGTTGATGGCACACCCCTGTAACCCCAGCACTTAGGAGGCTGAGTCAGGATGCCTGCTGAGAGTTTGAAGGCAGCCTGGGCTACATACTGAATTTAAGGCCAGCTTGAACTACTACATAGCATCACTCTGTCTCAAAAAAACCAAGAAAAATCATTTAGTGTTAGTTATTGTTATTATTATTTTGTGGTGCTTGGGAATCCAGGGCTTCCTAGAGGACAGACAAGCCCTCTATCACTGAGTTACATCCCCGCACCCCTTTCTTTCTCATTTTGAGACAAGGTTTCACTAATGTGTATAAGATGGCAACAAACTCAAGCTCCTTCTGCCTCAAAGTCCCTATGGCTGGGATTGCAGGCACGTGTCACCACATCTGGCCACTCTCACGTATTTCTAATTTATTTGAAATTTAGGTAACCATTCATCCCCTGCCTGCCAGTCGGGGCTCATTTTCTCACCCTTCTGCTACAGGCCCTGGACAATACTCGATATGGGAACCTGGTGTTGAGGTGGGTTTGTGAACAACAATATAGTACTCTAAATAGCCAAACTGATAAATCTGGAATTTAATTAACTGAGCTCAGGACCACTCGAATACAGACACTGCCCTCCCCCCTTCACGGTCCAAACAAGTGGCAAGGTAAGTTACAGTGTTTTTAAAAGATAGAATCACAAAAGACATCCTGTTGGAAACAATTTAGCTCGAATCTTCCATTAATTTTTGGTTGACACCTGTATCCTGCTCCTTTGGTTGAGCAGGTTAATTTTTCTCCTGTAAGTACGGCTCATTCTGTTCTTCTCATGGGACTTATCCCCTGAGTGATTTTCCATTGTCCTGAATACAGGGCACCAGTTATATGAAGGGTTGAAAATGTTGTCAGTTATGCCAAGCTACAACAGTGCGTGGCAGATACCACACCAGACACAGGAGGGAATCAGACAGAAGTGCATGAGAAGCTTGCAGAAAGAAAGGCAAACACATTGCACGACTTGGTCATAGCTACGCAACCTGTACTAATCATTCCTATATATTAACGATAAATCAGTGATCAAAAAATGTCATCAGGACAACTGCAAAGCAGAGTAAATGAGATAGGCTTTCTTCCAAAATTCCAAAGGCCTCTTGAAAATATTCCCAAACCCGACGTTGGCCTCCTGTGCCTGTAGAGGGCGATGTCGGGAATACGAGCATTTCTCCTGGTGTGGTGCCGATCTAGGCCGCAACCTGGTCTTCCAGCCGCGCTTCCGCGGGATTTTCTTTTGTCGCGATGCCAGCTCTTCTAAGTGCCTCAGAACTCCGAGAATCTGCAAACATCTCTCTTCTTGCACAGCTGTCTGTTCTCTCTCGGCAGCCGCCCGACACTGGGGCTGCACGGTGAGTTCACTGCGGGGCGCTGGTCCATTCGATGAAAGCGAGGCCCCGCGGGCGGGATGCTCCGGGATGGTTACCGGAGGCGCGTGTTCCCCGGGCCTAGGTCCCCAGAGACTCGCGTGTTCTCGGAGGAGGCCGATAGTGGGCCACGGCCTCGGCCGTCAGGGGAAGGACGCCAATTGCGGTCAGCGTCCAGGCGACGCTATTCGCGGGCCTGGAGCGAGGAGCGCAGGGCGCCGTGATCTTTCTTGCCCGCGTGTGGGCCTCCGGTTCGAGGCAGTCACAACGCCGAATCCGCTTGTGGTTCGTTGAGACGGGAGCAGTGAGTGCCATCTAGGCACTACCTAGGACCACCGGACTCCTTTCCCTCCACGATCTTTCAGGGCCAGGGCTCAAAATCTCCATTTTGCTAAGGTTTCAATTACGGACGCTCCCAGAACCCTAGGAAACAGCTTCGATATTACGGACAGCAAAATTAGGTAGAAATATTATAGGCCAGTCGGACAGCGCTGGACCCTGGAGAGTTCAATGCAGAAGACAACTGTGGATGGGGGCACATTCACTGAAGGCCAGACTGCAGCAAGAGAGGAATTAGTCATATACTTCCCCTAACTCCTTGCAGGAAAATCCTTGGCCATCCCATGTGCTCTTGCTGCGTGACTTCCCAGTTTGATCTCCATTTAATCAGTGTTACCCCAGCGACTATACCTTTTAGTTCACCATAGTCTTGGTTCATCTCATACTCAACTTGTGATTTTCCACAGGATCAATATTACCTGAGCAACTATGCTTGTAATCTTATTGATTGATTGATTGCATTTGTGTCCTACTTGGAACCTGCCTCACCTCGTGGCTTTGCCCTATAAACACCTTTGAAAGTGAGATCTGGGGGCAGCTCTCTTTCCAGGCTCCCTTCTGTCCCTCTTCCCCAGTACATTCTTCCTTCTCTTAACTTCTTTTTTCCTAGAATTCATTCCTCAATGTTAGAGAAAACAGACGCTGATTTTAGGACTTGTAGCAGGTTGGGATTTGTATTCCCTCTATGTCATTGGGACTGCAGTCCCCTGCTAGCACTGAAGCTCCTTCCTCTTTCCCCTGCTTAGGCCTTGCTTCTTCACGGACACGTGGAGATGGATGGAAACTTCTCCTGTGGTCAGCACCTTGGATTCTACAGCAGCCAGCCAGCTGGTCCCTCCCCTACACTGCCTCTCCAGCTCTCCCTGCTGCCAGTGCAGAGCCCTGCTGTTCTGGTCAGTGCTTTGGAGCTGAACTTGAAGTGGGAGCCCTCTTAGGTTACCTTTCCACCTATACCTGCAGAGCAGTGGTGGTGGAGGGCTTGGGTTCTGAGATCTGCCTGGCAAAACCCCTGTGCAGACTGAAGCCTGGTGAAGCACATGGGGATCTTGGGGTCGGGGTTGGGTCCAAAGACACAAGGTCAGATTCTAGCTGAATAACCTGATGCTTCTGAGCTTTAGTTTCTGTGAGGTAGGGAAGCTGCAAAGATTTGAGAGTAGCAGCCTGACTGATTGCCTTTCGAATCTTGCCCTGGCAGTGTACACATACTCTGGATATCTGTGGGGTAAAGAATTGAATCATCTTGACCATAAATTTGTATTCTGGTGAGGTTTTCGTGGCAGGTGGAATTTCTTTTTCCCTTTGTAGAACTCAGTGTTGGGTATTGGGTTTTTGCTTTGAGTTACTTCACCTTATTTTTAGTTTTTTATTTTGAGGTATTCTCTTGCTAAGCACTTTAATTGCTCAGATTATATTCAAACTTGTGCTCCTTCTGCCTTAGCTTCTAAGAGCACTGGAGTTCCAGGCATGTGCCACCTCAGGTGGCAGCTCTGATGGAATCTTCTGTGTGATGATGGCTCTCAGGAGTTGGGCTTGGCTAGTAGTCTTCCATCTCTGGACTGCTGGAGGAAATTGTGGTTACATGTTAGCTTCCTGGTTTACCTGCCCGTTTTTGCCACAGTATTTGAAAATGATTAGGGCTGCCTGTGCCCTGGGCATTGGTAATGCAGGGAGAGAAACTGCTGAAAGCCTTTCTCTGTGTTTGGAGGGTTCACTCCCGTCCCTTCCAAACTCTGGAGCTTTTGCACACCTTGTTGCCACCTTTTAGATGTCCCTGGGCCTCTGGTGTCTTGCTTACTGGGTGCTCTGTGCAGCTCAGTGCTGGTGTCTGAAGCTTTAGCAGGGGCGAATGGAGTTGAGTGCTTTCCTCAAGGAGCACCTGTGGGTGGGGAGTAAAGCCACAGCAGGGGTCACTTTTTTATCCTCAGCTCATTGTGAATGACCCTTTAGCAGTTGTTGGTTTGCTGGGCTCTGTATCTCTCCTGTGATCTTAAGGGGAGTGTCTGAGTCTTACCCCTTGATTTATCTCATTCCTGGCATTGCAGATTCTCAGTGTTTGGCACTTAGAGAACAAATGAAACTGAGAAAAGAAGAGAAGCCTGCCATGTCATGGCCCTCAGCATAGTTTGTCACTTCAGAAGCATACTTTTGAGCAAGGCAAATTCCCCTGGCCCACCAGGATAGGTATCCCAATGGATGCTCCTTTTGGTGCCAGGAGCCAAACAGGTAGGCCTGGAGATGGATGACATAGTCAAGTGACCCATGTAATCTGCCCTGGCCCTTAGATGACAAAAGTGGGCTAGTCTGCTGGTGCTTCAAGTCAAGACTGCTGTGCATGCTGGCACATCCAGCCTTCCAGAGTCCAGCATTCAGCTTCAGGGCCACTGCAGACTAACCTACTTGTACATAAGATGAAACTGAGGGGGGCAGGGGATTTAGCTCAGCGGCATAAGCACCTGCCTTGCAAACAGGCGGTCATGAGTTCGATCCCTGGTACCGAGAAAAATGAAAAAGACAAAAAAAAAAAAAAAAAAAAAGATGAAACTGAGGATGTCCCTGCATGGTCTTCTCCTTAAATAAGCTCTTCATATAACAGACAGTAGGACACTCTTCAGGTAATTATGACAGTGTCTGTGAAGCACTTCCCACATGCCAGCTTCTCCGTGTACTGCCCAGGAGAGGTTTGACTAATGATTTTTAAGTGGCTCCTGCGGGCTTGTTTATTGCAGTGGTGGCAGCTTGATGCAGAGCGGGCATGGACATGTCTCCATTCTGCTACGAAGTAGCTGGACCATGTAGCTCCAGGTAGAAGTGGGAACTCTGGAGATCTCCCATATCTGATATTGGGAACCTAGCTGAGAATCCTGATTTTCAGTCTAAAGAATGCCATGAGAAAATAAAAACCAGACAAATACAAAATTCCAAGAATTGCTGGGAAGTCAAAGTCTCTGGATCCCCGTGCTTCACTCCCGCACAGCCACTATTTATTAGCTGTCAGCAGTGATAGGTGGGGCTAGCCAAGTATTACATTTCATCTGAAGACTCCGACCCAGAGGGAATAGATGACATTATGGTTAGAAGTATCTTGTCCTTGAGTGTAATCCTGAGATGACTCAAGAAGGCATAGATGATCTTAGGTTTAGAAGAGTCAGTTGGAATCTGAGATGAGTGGTGTCACTAATCCCAATTCTTCCTTTTCTCCCATAGGGAAATATGCAGAACTAGTCACTGTGAATTTGTGGTCCCTAAAGCTGGGAAGTGGATGGAAACTACATAAAGGCAGCTTCATTTGGTTCCTAGTTACAGATGCACCAGGCTCTTGCTGTATCCGTTTAGGGTCCAGTGGTTTATGGTACTCTGTGTTTTCCTTTGGTATACAGGCAGCAGGACATCTGTGTCAAATGCAGAATGGCTTTGGCATTGTACTCCCTCATGCCCCAGTGCCCATCACCTCACTGCCATGTCCTAGTTTGGGGACCTGCCCACATTCCTGGTTTCCTCATCAGGAAACTAGGGAGTGTAAAGTGGTAATTTGTCTTAGGTGTACATTGTTCCTACTTTCTTATGTGGGGCATCTTCCCTTTGTGTGTCTTGGATGGAGCAGGTTAAGTTCACGCAGGACAGGAAGGCAGCTGCTGGGTCCTGTTCTCTGTGCTGTTGCCATCCCGGCCCAGGCCATTTTCTAGGTGTCTGACACTGGCTGGCATTTTTGCCACGCCCCGTGTCTGTTTCCACTCCTTGTCCACTGTGACTGTAGGCTGTCTTTGGGAATTCAGAAAAGCCAGGAGGTTTTCCTCACGTGTGAGACAACATTGTTTTCTTTCCCAAGGGATTGGCAGTGATCTCAGAATGTACAGTTTGAGTTGTCAGTGCCTTCCCTGCCCCCTACTGATTCCTGCTGAGGTTGTCATTTCCTGGACATGCTGTCAACAGTGCTAAGTGGGCTGTCCATATGCTGGCTTCTTGTCTCCTGCAGGAGTGTCACACGTGTGCTGATAAGTGTGTGAGAGGTTTTCTCAGGGAGAAGATGATGAAATCTCAGGTATGTGGTGATGTACTTAGTTTTTTAGAGCTCACGTGTACTGTCGGAGGTCAGAGGAGTTTCAGTGCTCTGGATGGGGAGTGAGCTCAAGGAGGAAGGCTGCTTCCCTGTGCTCCTAGTTCTGGCCCACTTGGCTACTTTATTTGAGGGGCTGCTGCAGAGAAAGTGCTTCCAGAGCTGGGTTTGGGCTCCCAGCATTCCTGAGGGCAGCCCTCTGTTATGAGGAGGAAAACAGCAGTGTGTTGGAATGGACAGAGGGCCACCTCCAGACTTAACTCTAGGTTCCTATGCAGTGAGCAGCCTTCTCGTCTTCTGTGTGCCTCAGTGGATGATGCTCAGTATTGTTATCACTCTAGCTCAAGAATTCCCAAGAATTCTGCCAATGTTTGCCTTCAGTTCTTGTCAGGGAGCGCCAGGTGATCTCTAGAGTCACAAAGCAGCTTTTCTGTCCTCCCAGCTCCGTCATTTCCTGGAATGCTGGCCATGGTCTCTCCGTCCAGCTTAACTTCTGTCCTTCTGCACCCTGTATTCGAAAGTGATCGTGGGCTGCCTGTGCCCTGGTCATTGATAGTGCAGGGAGAGGAACTGCTGAAAGCCTTTCCCCGTGTTTGGAAGGTCTACTGCTGTCCTACCAGACCCTGGTGCTTTCCCACAGCTTTTAGATGCCTCCTGGCTCCTGCATCATCCAGTTCAGTAAGTGGCCCTTCTTTCTGGCCTGGGGCAGGTTTCTGTGACTTCTTGAGAGAAGGTTGTGGAAGCCTGGACCTCACCAGAAGTGGATGGGCTGTGATGGGTGTGGAGCCTTGGCATCAGGCTCTTCCTCCAGGGACTTTCTCAGTCTCCATCCAGTGGGCCTCAGCACTAAGCAGACTGAGGGGTAGTTACTGCTTTGCTTGTCTCCTGGCTTCCTTCCTGGTGGTCAGAAGGGTGGCGCGTTTCTTCTGTGTCTTCATTTTCCAGAAGATCAGTTTTCTATGAGCCTAGGGCAAAGGAAAAACAAGTAAAGGAGATTCCCTTTGCTGTAAGAGCTGGGATGCATCGCCTTGTGCAGTGCTGGTTTGGGGGTACAGTAAGATGTCTGTGCAGGAGCACACTGGTATTTTCTCCTCTTGCAGAATTCAACAGGTCACCTCCAGGGGATGACTTTTCAACTCTAGCCTGTGGTTACTGTGGCAAGGAGCAGGGATAGGCAGAACAGGATGTAAGTGAGGGATTTATGGAAGTGGCCCTTCCTTACACAGCCCTCCTGCTGCTCTGTCTCCTCCCCAGGTCTGTGCCACATGCTGGCAGACAAATGCCACATTGAAGACAATCAATAATAGTTGGCACAACAGATAAAACAGACACGCTCCACCACTTTTAGGAGATCTCCAATCCTTTTCCTAGAGGTAAGCTGATTTTCTCATTCCTAAAATAATGAGACCTTTCGTGATGGTAATATGGATAAGTCAACACTGTGCACCACTGTACGGAGAGGCTTGGTCCTAAGTATCACACTAGAGATCGTCAGACTGGGCTCTGAGGTCAGGTTTCTGGTCCATTCTCAGGAGTCATGGTTTTTTGTACCCTGTAAAGTCGGTTCTTTTTCTCTGCCTTTTTGGATAGTGGTGTAAGCAGGTGATTAGGAGGAGATGAAGGGTGGTACATGGATCCCCAGATCTCCCTTCCCTGGACATCTGAGTCACATCTGGTACCAGGTTTGGGCCAGCAACCCCTGACAGCAAGACAAAAGAAGATGTGAGAGAATATTTTTGCGGAGGGCTAGGGAGCTTCACGGAAAGGAAGCCTTGAACTGACTCAAACTTCAGATTTATTCAGGAGTAACAAAGACATTGTGTTCTGCTGAGGTTTGTTTCAGGTTGCTGAATTAACTGTTACCTGATTATTCCCCTGGAACCTTCCTTGTTTCCCTGTCAGGCCCTTCTCTATGTGGGTTGAGAAAATATCCCATCCTTAAGATGTTCAGGCTCCTGGCAGGGGATTTAGCTCAGTGATACAAGCGCCTGCCTGACAAGCGCAAGCTCATGAGTTTGATCCCTGGTACCATACAAAAAGGTTCCAGCTCTTTGGAGTTAGCAGCCTTGTGATTCCCCATCCCAAGTTTACCTGTTGAAATTACAAGGAACTCTACAATCTGGTTCCCCACTCTAGGGTTGTTTTGTTTTGCTTTTGATCGGTGAACGTTCTACCTGAACATCGTTGCTGCTGGGATTCTAAGTGTGCACCACTATAGCTGGCCCCACCTGCCTTTTGGCAGAAAAAACGACCAACCTCTCCAGAGACCTGCTGGTATTGAGTTCTGGGCCTTTTCCTGTGTTACAGCAGCTGCAAGCTGTAACAGGAAGTGGGTGAACTTAGGCATCACAGACACCCATACCTGTCTCTTCATTCCTCCATATGGTTGTGCCAGGGATCTAGTGGGAGAGTCAGAACCCAGGGCTTTTACAGAGGGCTGGTTGTGTAGATGCCTTTGGCCTTGCAGGTGTGCAAGTCCAGACTCAGCAGGAGAGCAGGCGTCCAACCCAAGCCAGGTTGTTTGCAAAGGGAGCTGGGTTCATGGAGGTGCCGTGTGGAGCTAGCTGTTTACTAAGAATGTTTTGGAAGCCAGGTTTCAGGACCCAGTAAGGGCCACTGGCAGGAAGACAAAGCTCTGACAGGTGAATTTTATAGACATGAGCATGTGATCCTGCTCTTCAGCCCCCAGATTTTTCTCATTTTTGTCGGAGGGTCTCCCGTTTGATTCCCACATGGCAGTTGCAGGATCCTGTGCTCCTTTCCTTGTGGACCAGGCATCTGGCACCAGGCTCCTGTACATCTTGGCCCTCCTCCCTCTGCTCTTTTCTGCCCTGTATTCGAAAGTGATTGTGGGCTGACTGTGCCCCGGTCATTGATAGTGCAGGGAGAGAAATATTGAAAGATGTTTTCCCCGTGTTTGGAGGGTCCATCTGTCCCTTCTGAACCCTGGAGCTTTCCCACATTCTTGTTCTGCAAGCCTTGTAGGAATGCGGTGCTTCTTGGGTTGCCCCGGGAGTCAGTGTCAGGGGTCGCCATGTCAGCGTCTTTCTCGCCTTGTCTTGTTTGCAGCAAGCAAGGTGTCTATGCATTGAGATGTTGCCCAACAGAGTTCAGTCCTGTGGGGGGCGGATCAGGATTCCAGAGCCTCAACCTGCTCATGGAAAGATTGTTTGAGGAATCCTAGTGAACGCATGCGAGTATCTGCACAGTAGTAGAAAGTGCAACATTAGTGTGTGCGGTGGTTTCCAAGTCCTTCCAGAGCAGCTTCCTGAAGAGTGTGGGGGGGGGGCAGGTTTCTAAAACACTCCAGAACAGGAGGTGCAGTGTCGACATGTGCTAGGGCAGCTGGGACAGCTGGCAAGGGACTTTGGGACTAGGGTGAGCAGGGCTGGGGGAATGCAGCAGAGAATATGTTAGGGATAAGGTGGGGCAGTATCTTTACATATCAGTGGTGTGTGATTGAGAGCCCTTAGGTCTATATTGGTGAGAATGGGAGGGCACTCAGTTCTGAGGTGGGACACACCTCACTTCCCAGAGGGTGCAGCTCCTAAGAGTTTTGCCTGCTCTCAGGACCCTCTAAGGTATGCATTGGTATCACCCATTGTGTGCTCTTACCAACTGCTTACTCCTCTTCAGTTCTCTTGGCTTTCAGGGATCCCCTTTTGATACCTGGTTTCTGGAGAGTAAAGTCCTCAGGTCAAGAATGAAACTTGAGAGCTAGGTGTGAGATATGTCCTAGCACTTGAGAGGCTGAGGCCCAGGCTGGCTTCAAACTTGTGGTGGTCCTCTTGCCTTAGCCTCTCAAGTGCTGGGATGTACCATGACATCTGGTTCTAGTTTCATTAAAAAAAACAAACCCAAACATGAAAAATGCTGCATGCTGAGCCAGTTACTTAAACTTACCAACTTGGCAAATGGACACAGCAACATCCTAGAGTGGTCCTGCATGTCCTCTACACTCTAATGGATATACAGCTGCTGAGTCACTTGCTTCAGCTTGTAAACTTATCAAGTTGACACTGTGTGTGTGTGTTAGATACAAGTTAAATGGACATTTTTCTCTGTTCATTGTTGATGACCTTGCAGGGTGGGATATGATCAGTAATGGTGCAGTGAATGTGTGAGTGCCTGTCTTTATAAAGCAATGGTGCACTCCTTTGGGTGTGCACCAAGAAGAGGGATTTCTGGGTTCCAGCACCCTTTTAGCAAACACCAATGATCAGCAGCTGGGTCTCAGCAGGTACTAAATAATGTGGACGTCATTCCAGTCACAGGTGGTGTGCACACCCTTCCTCAGTTAGGGCTCCTTGATGGAGAAGTAGCAGTGTGGCTGCAGAGTACTCAGGGTACAGCCAGCACCTGTGAGGTGCCAGCTGCCTTACCAAGTGCTCGCTCTGTGGGAGACGGTGACCTCTGTGCTGAGACTATACATAGATGTGTTGTCTACCTAGCCTATAGGAATGATTTTTGGACTGTTCTTTGGCATATTGTTTTGTCCATGTTCCCTAGGGCTTGGGTGGGGGCATATGAGGAAGTGAGGTGAGAGCGGCATCCTGTGAGTTCCAGGTGTATTAATCTGCATTGGGCCAGGGAGCCCCCCATCTCTCCCGCAACTCTGCCAGGAAGGGCCATCCAGAAACCTGCCTGGGTAAGAGAGCTTCCTGGGTCATCTTGCCTCTGGGGCTGAGATATGTCATTACCGTGTTAGGAAGAGAAGGGTCTGGATTCAGGCACCAGCGACTCTGATCCTCCGATTGACCCATCTGGCCAAGTGACCTGCTCTCAGCCTTTCACAAGCTCAGCTGGGTTAGCAGTGTTTTGTTTTGATGTGTTTTCTTCTGGTGTTAAAATCATAGTTCCTGACCATTTCCAACCTAAAAGCCTACCCAGTATATTTATGCTGGACTTCCGTAATCCATAGGTCACAGTGGCAGGTAGTTGGATGCTGGGTTCAGCTGGGCTGTTCTCTAGGACTCAGGCCATCAGGCATTCCCCAGCTCCCTGGCCCCAACCTCCCTGTCTTCCCCACTCTTTGCCCTTTTCTGGTCCCCTAACCAAACATGATCTTTGGCTGCCTGTGCCTCATTTATTGGCAGTGCATGGAGAGGAACATGGAAGACCTTTTCCCTGTGTTTGCAGGGGCCTCTTTCCATCGCTTGCAAGCTCAGGAGCTTTCCCACACTCCAGGCTTCCTGCCTACCCTTCAGACCTTGGCCTTCACTGGCCCTCATGGCACTAGAGCAGCTTCCTGACTTGAAAAATTAAGGTTCTTTGCCAGATGCTGGTCTATGCATTTCCATTTAGACTTGTTACCACAGTAAATCCTAGCAGCACTGTAGGACACGTGTGAGAATTGTAAGTTGTGGATTCTGCTTTACGACATTTGTCGGAGTGGAGGATACTCTGGATAATGCATGTTTGAATACAGCTGTGCTTTAAATGCTCATTGGCTTCTTTATCCTGTCCCTTCCCCCACCACAGGGGATGGCTATGCATGCTAGCACCACCCACCTGTTCTACTACTAAGTGACATCCTTAGTCCTCTTTGTTTTTTTTTTTTTTTTTTTTTTCTTTTTCCTCTTTCATTTTTTGAGACAGATTTACTTTGTAGTTCAGGCTGGCTTTGAAGTCACAGTGATCTTCCTGCCTTAGTGTCCCCCGTGTATACCTACATAGGGCTTCCCAAGGACAAAGCCTCCACAGTACTGGCCCTTTAATTTTGAGGAAGGCTGTGCTAATTTACTGAGGGTGGCCCCAACATTGAGTGCAGGCCTGGGCCACTTGGCAGTCCTTTATCCTTGTGTACTGCTTCTCCAGCAGCCTGCCTTCCTTCCCCAGTTGTTCTCCTGGTCCTGGCGCTTTGTAGGTCTGCCAGGCATGGAGAGTTAATGGACAGTCGTGACCCTTTTAAAATCCTAGCTTCGAAGCCAGACATTGTGCCACGTGCCTGCAGTTCCAGCACTTGGGAGGCTGAGGCAGTAGGATTGCTGTGAATTCCAGGCTGGCTTGGGCTACGTAGTTTTAAATTCAAGGCAAGCCTGAACTACACACAAGGAAAACCTGCTTCAACATAAGGAAATATAGGCAGGCAGGCAGCTTTTCTCTCCAGAAGGCCTGGTAATTGAAAGTGGGTTTGCAGTCTTCTGGATTGTGTATGGTTCACTTACTGTGTGATGACCTCAACATTTATCACTTGTGCATTTATCTTATAAGTGGGTCTGGGATTTGTGATCTTCAGACCTCGCTACCTAATAAGTGTCTCTAGATGTTTGGCTTCCACTTGTCTCTCTGGGCTGGGTAAAATTGAATGGATCTTTGTGAAACAGGATGACAGCTGTGAGGGCTTTGCAGTAGGTTGGGCAGACAGGTGAAGACCATGTGATGGAAGAGCTGCTAGCAGGGGTGGTCTGTCTTCTCAGTCAGGCTGCTGTGGCTGGGCACAGGGGTACACTTCTGTGATCCTGGCTACCTGGCCATCTAAGGTGGGAGAGTCCCAAGTTTGAGGACGGCCTGGGCTTTTTAGCAAGATCCTTTCTGAAAATAAAAGGCAAAAGATGAAGCTTAGTCTTGTGTGAGGCTGTGGATTGAGTCCCTGCTACTGCCAAATGCATTGTTCCAACCTGATGGATGGTGAGCTCCTGTTCTGACTGTGAACTGCTTGAAAGAAAATCATTTGCTATAAAAACTTACTTTTCTGTTCTTAGGACTTCTAATGAGGTGTGCATAAACTGGAAGCTGTCTATTAGGAACACCTGTGTGATATCAGCTTGCGTGGGAGAACCTGGTGCTGGAGCCTGAGTGTTTTGTCTGCCTCCCGGTTCTCACCCTTAAGTCCAGGAACTGCCAAGCAAGTCCCAAGCCTGACAGTCAGTTTTCTCGGGAGAGCTTGGATCTGAGTGCGCTGAGTTGTCTCAGTGATGGTAAGTTAGGGCCAGGGGCCTGGAACCTATAGCCAGGGTTAAGGGGTTTTATGTTTATGCAAATGGAGCTCTCAACCTTTCTTGTCACCTCTCTTTGTTTTAGATCCTATTAGTGTTGTCCAGGAACTCTAGGAGCAGAAAATGGAGAGTGAGGCCATCAGAGGAAGTGTAATTGGAGCTGTGGCTGTCCCTGCAGGCTGCTCAGAGCATTGATGACCGCTCCTCGCCCTTGGAAGAATTTGGATCCACACTGGCTGTAGCCTGTTCCTCCAGCCCAGCCTTGCCCACCCCCTGACAGCACAGTTAGCTCATCAGTGGGCAGATTCACGGAGGAGCACAGAGCCCTCCTGACACAGTCACCTTCCAAATGCATGTGAACTTAGGAGAACATTTTAGGTCTAAATGATCACAGTGTGTACCTTTCTGAAGAAAAGGCATTTAGAAATATAGTGTTTTTGTGTTCCAAGTTAAAAAACAGTGTCACTACTAAAGAATTAGGATTACAGACTTTGATTTGTAAAATAATACAATTAAGTACAGTAGGTTTAAAGGTTACTTGTATTTGGATAATACTAGGCATTTTAAAATAAAACTCCCTCAAAGTGGAGTTCATTGGGGGAATTAGAAACTATTGCCACGTAAATAAAATTGTGTGTTTTAGAATGGTACTGTGTATCTGAAATAATTTTTGGAGATTTATTAGTTTTACATGCTCACATAAAAATTAAAAGTTGAGGGGCTGGGGATTTAGCTCAGTGGCATAAGCGCCTGCCTTGCAAGCAGGCAGTGGTGAGTTTGCTCCCTGGTACCAATGAAAAGGAAAAAGAAAAAAAAAAAAAAAGTCAAAAGTCAAAAAGATTAGTGAAGATAGTGAGAAATTATTAATAAAGATAGTGCTTAGGAGACTAGAAGAAATGGAAAGGCTTTGGTAAAGTGATGTGGAGAAACTGGTAAAACTGACACAATACAATTTTAGGAGTGAAGTAGAACAGGATGGGTAGGGCTGGAATAAAAACTAATAATACGGATTACTTGTTGCTTTTAAAACTCTGAACGTCTGTAGGGCAAACACAATGTTAGTAAAAATTTAAATTGCTGCAAAGAGCAAACGAAAAACTGTTAAAACCCAGGGATAGCACACCTGTAATCCCAGCACTTGGGAGGCAGGAGGATCACCATGAATCTAAGACCAGCCTGAACCACACCATGAGACTCAAAAAATAAAAGCCACCCTAGGGGCCAGGTTCAGCAGTCAGATTTGTGCACTTACTGGAACAAACTTAAAGCTGTGACTAGCAGAAGAAATGAGATTCATCCTGGAACAGGCATAATCACCAAACCTTTACCCTATACTGTTAGGGCCAGTTGCCTACAATCCATTGGCAAGAAGGAAAAGGCGCCAGGTCTTGGCATCAGACTGCTATCTGTTTTTTGAGTCTGGTTGTGTTGAGGTGTGGATGTGTGTCAGACCTTTCAGGTTTTCCCACCTTGGCTTCAGCTTGTAGGCACATGTGCTTCTCTTATGGCTGTAAGGTGGAAGTATACCAGTATGCCAAGGGGATCTGTGTAGGTTGGTTGGGGTGGAATTGAGCTAAAGCCTCTGGAGGATGCTTACCAAGGATGTGGCTGTCACCGTGGAGGAAGGACAATATACAGAGAACACTATTCCACTGGTCCCTGGATTTGCATCAGCATGCTGTGCTGCCACTGGAAGATAAGGGCTTGAAACCTAGCAAAAGGGTCCCCCTAGACTAGTGTATGAGTATAGTTGTTTCACAAATAACTCAGGAGTGTGTACCTTCTGTCAGCTTTGTGGTTTTTAATCCTAAATTTGATGGGAGGGCTCTCAATAGTTTTGAGGCCAGTGCAGGATAATCAAAGTTGAAAATCTGATGAACACATGCAGGCCCCATTCTGAGCCTGCCCGCCCCTGGGGTGGTTCCATCTGATTGTTGCATACCCAGGAAGTGGCCAAAGAAGGCTTCAGCACGTGTCTGACTTAATCATGCCACTGCGCGACATGTACAAGTAAGTTCCCTAGGTGTCATGTGGAGCAGGTGCGTGGACATGGAAACTAATGAATGCTCATGTGTTTGTCCTTTATGGAAGTTTATTCTAGTTGATTGGTGCAGTCAGGTTGAGCTCCTTCTGTTAGACTGATAGCTGTAAAGAGAAGGTGTGGGAATACAGAAAGGAGCAAGTTTGGGAGTGTCCCGTGTCCATGGCTTCAAATGTGACAGGTTCATTGGTGGCCACTGTCCATGGGGCAGAAAGCTGGAGGAAGAGGCTGCAGCCTGGGGTTCTCTTCCGCTCCTGTCTGCTCCATCCTTCGCCTACTTGATATCAGCTCCTATGAGCAGGAAGTTCTAGAGAGAAGACAAAAGAGCTAACCAAGAAAAGTCATTTGCTGAGCCACCCAGGTGTCTGGGTTCCCACAGGAATCAAAAGTCTCATCAGCCTAAGTCTGGGGGCTTCACAGTAAACTGTTCTCAGCTTCCTGTCTCCAGGAATTTATACTTCCCAAACCACTGCTCCCTAGAAGACGTCAATGAAAGTCACTTTCCTCCAAATTTACTCCATCAGGAGAGAAAGGCAAACCTGGGTGCTGTCTCAGCTGCTCAGTTTAGCAGAAGGCAGCTCTGGGCCTCCTTGCAGGGAAACAGCTGTGAACAGTGAACACACTGGCAAAGGGCCTTTGTGGATATAAATCAAAAACTTGTTTTTTGCCTGTGCTCCCCATGGAAGGTATGGCACAGTTTTCTCCAAAGCTGTCCCTTGCTGTGAGTGGGAGGGCTGGCCAGTGCCACGGGGCAGCTGTCACATCACTAGTGAGACTGTAGGCTTGTTTAGGATGCCCCTCAACCCAAATGGCATGTGATCTGACCTGCACTTATGCTCCTGTCATCCAGGGCTGCATTACCTCGTGCTGTGTGAGCACTCAGTGAATGTCTTCCCACAGGATCATCAGGAACTGAGCGAGTCTATGTGTGGCTGAGGCATCACATCATCAATACCTGCCATTTTCACTGCTAAGTTTAAGTTCTTTTCCTGGTTCCCCCTCATCTCCCAGCCTTTGAGGCAGCCCCAACACATCTCAGCACTGCAACCCCATGCACTCACTTTGTGAATTTGGAGTTCCACGTTGTTGAGGAAGATCTGCCTGGGCATAGGGAGTGGGAAGCCCTCCTCGAGCTTTGCTGGAGGAGAGAGCAGAGATGAGCTGGACACAGAAGTCCAGGAGGAGACAGGAAGCAGGCCATGGCCTTTGCAGCCACTATGGATTCAGGGCTGGTTTGGGCTGGGAAATCCGTTCCACTTCCCAAAATGAATGACTGCCAAGTAAATCAGTGGTCATGTCATGGTGGCAGCCCGTGCTTCTTCTGAAGGCTATAAGGGAGAATCTGTCCCCCTGCTCTTTCCGCCTCCAGGGTCCATGTGGATTCCCTGGCTTATGGTCCCTCATCACCTCACCCCATGGTTCTTCTGTTGTTTTGCACATGTCTCCCTCTTTTAAGAACCTTTAGATTATACTGAGTGCAGCTGGAGGAGCCAGGATAACCTCACCATCAAAAGGTCTGTTATCTCCTCTGCAAAATCCTTTTTTGCCACATATGGTCATGCTCACAAGTTCTAAGAGTCAGGACATGGTGTCTTAGGAAGTCCATTCAGTCACCTTGAGGGTAGAGTAATAGTAACAAGCACCTCCTTATATATGCCCTCTGTGCTATGTCTAGCTAAGTGCTTTAGCAAATCATCTCTCCTAATTCCTGCTGGCCAATTTCTTTTTTCATTCATTTTTTAGGCAGGGTTTTCTATATAATTCAGGCTGTCCTGAACTTACTACCTAGCCTAGCCTGACCTGAACTCACGGTGATCCTCCAGCCTCAGCCTTCTGATTGCTGAGATTACAGGTGTGCATCACCATTCCTGGCTATTTCAATTTCATAGAAGCTCAGAGAGGTTAAACAAGTATTCCAGGTTCCCCAGCACAAAAATGGTAGAGCTAGGAGTCAAGCTCAGGCTCTGGAGACTCCAGACAGATTTAGTATGTTGTTTCACAGACTCCTGACTTAGTCTTGGTGTGCAGTGGCTAATAGCACATCTGTCCCTTATGGGCTGGCAAAGGAAGGGGAGGAGCTGCCTCTGGGAAGTGGAACTGATTTCCTAGCAAGGTCCTTTCCCTATAACCCCTTACCTTGAAGGGAGTATCTAGGCCTTCAGAAGTCACCTGGGGTGCGCCTACCAATCTGTAATCCAGGCTTGCAGTCTCATCAATCATCACGGTGACTGTGAGATAGGAAAGAGACAGGTTAGGAACAGGATGGCTAAACACAGCTGAGCAAGTTGTGTATTGTACATCTCTGGGGAACGTCATTCACAGAAACTGTAATCTTTCTATCAGGGAAATGGGGCTGGTGCTGATCCATCCACTTTAACCAGAGAGACACATTGCCTCACTCATCATTTTACTGAGCACCTTCTATATGCCAGGCATAATACAGGCGGCTGAAGAAACCGTTGGGTAAGAGTCAGTCCCTGCCCTCTGGGAGTCCAAAAGAGAAACAGATAAATACTTGAGCAAATAAATGTGCAGTTACAGTGGTGCTCAGTGGACGAAGTGTGATGTCATTCATGTAATATCAGCCACAGTGGGCAGTGTCAAAGGGTTCAACAGGGAGTCAAAGAAAGCTTCCTGGGGAGGTTTTGCCTGGCTGGAGTCAGCAGGGCATAGATGCTGACTGGGGAAGGCGTGAATACGGGCCCGGGCTCTCCTGGCAGAGGGAACCGCAGGAGCGAAGATCACATGGCAGGATGGAACATGGAGTATTAGAGGCTCTGTGGGGCCCAGCAGGGCTGACTGGGTTTGGGGCTCTCTGTTTCATTAATCCTCTGCCTACCTTGTGCTTCTACTAGATGTCTGCCCTGGAGTATCCCATTGCCAAAAACAGACTCCTCAAAAGATGCCCTGCTTCAATTCTGTAGGATGGGAGAGTTTCCCCAGGACTCCCCGGGAGCAATGGTTTCAGGATAACCCAGGGTCAGGGAGTCTGCTGGCACCTATGGAAATTGAGGGTGTGCTCAAACCTGGTAGAGTCCTGAGATAGGGCTCCAGGTAAGAAGTGGTGGACTGCCTGATCATCTCACAGATCTGCCAGAGGGAGAGAGAAAGCTGCTGAGTCCTTTTTCCTCCACTCTCCTCAGCAATGCCCTGGTGTCCCCAGATCCACCTCCAGGAGGTACCTTGGCAACCCAGCCGTGGAGGTACCTGAGTGTATGCTGGGAAGGGTCAGGGAACATGGAGAAAAGGAAGAAGAGGCCACTGTACCCCAAAATACATAGCACTTGGCCACTACCATGCCCACAGTAAATTTGGCACTCATTCCTGAATCCCTGTGGCTCCTCTTCTTGCTCAGATCCTGAAATCTCTCCAGTGCCGATTGGATTATGAGACAGCCCACAGCAAAGCCAGAAGAGGGCTCAGCCTTGGAATCCTAGTGGCCATTGGCCACTAACTTGTTCCTAGCAAAGTATTGGATTTCTAACAGTTTTTCCTTGTCCCCCCTCCCTCTCCATTGTCCTTCTCTCCCTTTGTCTCTGTCTGTCTATTTTATACCAGGAAATGAGCTCAGGACCTTGCCCTTGTCAGGCCATGTCCCTGACCTAGTTGTGGAATTCTAGACTGGGAATGTCAGAAGCCCCTCGTCTGGCAATTTCCCATCTTTAGCAGTTTCTACACCATCCCATCATTTTGCCTTTCCCACCTTTCCTCTCTGTTATTTACTTAATATTTTCCATATGCCACCTGGCCTTTTCAAAGGGACATACATTTAATAAAAAATGCACAAACTTCATATCACTCTTTTGAATGGAAAACTGGAAGTCCTTGGGAAAATGAATAATGTACAAGGGATTGCAGGGAAAAAATTGTTCTGGAACACTGGCTAGATGCTGCTGCCTAGTTAGCTAATCCCCTCTTTGCTAGAAAAAATAATTCAGGAAACATTAGTCTCCTACTGAGTCTTCCTGTCTTTGATGTGAGAAGAGAAAGAAGACTTCAGAGGGAATTGCTTATGCATCCTGTCATTTTGCATAATTTAATACCAAGGCTTCCAATCACTTAAAATCAACTCTCTGTGGGAAGCATCTTCATTTTGAGAGCACTGTTTTGGTGCAAAACTGTAAGGCAGCCAAAGCCTGGTGGACCTAGGTCAGCCTCCCTGGAGCACCACGCCAGGGCATCGCTACCTCCCCTCCCAGGACCTGGCTTTATCCATCTTCCCCCACCTCCCCTGGCCAGAGGTCCTCTTTCTACAGAGCCACCTGGGACTCTGCACTCACAGCCCTATGGGAACTGAAGTCAGTGACCGCATGTAAACTAGTCTACTCATAGGCTCAGCCTCCCTGTCACTAGCCTCATTCCCCTGGAAATGTAGTATCCCGATTTTTCTGGCCCACATTTCCTATGTATGAAAATCAATCACCACAACACATAGGCAATTAGTGGGGAGCTTAGTTGAGTATGCATATAATCCCAGTCGTTTACCCAAATGTTAGTCCTAGACATTAAGTATAAGTTAACACAGCTTTGGGTCTTCACAGCAAGGTAGATGTTATGATTATTCCTATTTATAGACAGGCATCCTAAGAGTCAGGGAGATTCAGTTACCCAACACTTCACAGCTATTACAGTGGCAAATTGGGATTTAAAACCAGAGCACCTATCTGCTGAACTTGTGGCTCAACACTGAAGACTCAAGAGGACGAGTCATAGTTCTGAAATGGTAGCAATGGTTGTGCTCCAAACACAATTTGAGTCCCAGGAACTCAGTGTGGTTATCTAATTTTACTGCCACCAACTTTTCAAAGTAGAGGAGACTGAGGCTCCCGTGAATTCACTGATTTGCAAGATAGATAGAAGGTAAATTGAAGAAGCACCTGCCCCGCTCCACAGACTAAGCACTTACCAGAGGGGAGTGATTCCAAAGGTCATTGCCCCTGATGCTTTCAATATAGTGTAAGCCCTGGGGATTAGCTCAGTGGCATAAGCATCTGCCTGACCGGCACAGCCCCAATGAAACAGGAGACGCTCTTGTGGGTGACTGTTAACTGCTGCTTTATTCACGCGGGCTCTGGTTTATATATTTGGCTGTGATCAATCACAGGCTGCCACAAGGAAGCAGGGCGGGAATGGGACGCAGGCTCTGGCTACTATATCCAGCTGTGGCCAATCAGGAGTTGCCACAGAGTATGGAGTGAGCACGAAGTGCGCACGGGTTGGCTAATTTAAAGAGGGACGCAGCGCATTGCAGAAGCTGGCGTGGTCCTTAGTCCCGGGTGGGGTATGGTATGTTGAGCGCCTGCGCCCAACATCTGCCTAGTAAATGTGAGGTCATGAGTTTGACTCCTAGTACCAGAAAAAAAAAATCTCAGTATGTGAGTGAGAAGAGTGAGAAAGCTATTCTAGGTTTCCTCCTTAAGCATCTGAAGATTTATTTTGGTAGGTAAATCCTTGGACCCAGTTAGTTTTTTGTATGGTGCGAGGGAAGGATCCAAAATCATTTCTCACCATTATTTCTCTAATACTACCTGCACTTAGATAATGAAGTAACACTTTGTAAGTTTCATACAAACTTGGGAATCGACATTTGCCTTTGAATTATGCAAGAAGATTTTGCTAAGCAAATTCAGACATCTGCATACTTAAGAGAAGCTCTTTCCAAACATTCAATATGTAAATACCAATGATTCATGTATTAGCTACCAATCTGCTTATCCTTTTGTTTACCTTTTGTTGCAAGATCCTTTTGATATGGCTTTCAATTATTTCATGGAAGAGGTTTAGGATCTAGCTGGAGAAAAGAGGTGAAGTGGTCAGGATATACTTTATTATGAAGCAAACAGTGCCCATGGAGTTGAACTTTCCCCATTTTTCCCATCAGTGAGACCCAGGCAGATACATTCAATATGCAGGAAGATGATTCATAGTACATCTATATACATCTTTGGTTTTGATTTCTCCAGGGTCCCTACCTTTCCTTACAATCTACTTCTCTGTTTTCCTGCTTCATGCTTCAATGTCACTGACCCTATCCTTATCCCAATGACTAAATATGAGTATAGACCATAGTTCTGTCAATCACAGTTCGTAATGATTGATCCAGGCTAAGCCTGTGACTCAACAGAAACCAATAGCAGTTACCCCACTGCTTTGCTTGAGGCTGCAGGGGGAAAATTACAGCTGGTAAATGTCTCAAAAGGCATAGTTTGCTGAGCCTTGCTGTTGATTACCCTTAAAGTTTTGTTCTTTCGCTGTAATAGATGAGCTGGATTGGAGGGGTTGGATGCTGAGACAGCAGTGAGTGTTTCCAGTGAGTATACATGGGGTCACCTACCTTAAGCTTCCAGAAATGTAAACCCTGACACGGCCAATGGAGTTGCTGCACTGGGCCACAGAGGCAGTGGGCCGTCCAGACTGGTCCTGGCCCCAGAAACTGAGATGTAAATGTTGTATAACTTCAGATCAAATCTGCCCTCCAGGGTACTGGTTAGAAGAAAGGGAAAGCAAAATCCTGTATAAGCAGTTGCCTACAAGAGCAGCAACCAGAAGAACACAGAGCTAGGGAGACACTAACAAGCTGTGTCCTTTGCCTGGGACTCTTCTTACCACAAGTGAAAACAGCAAGCGTTTTTCAGGTATGCTATGTGCCAGGCACAGTGCTAGACGTAGATTGTTGTTAATCCCATTTCCCAGATGAGAGGACTTAATCTTAAATACAGCTGCATCTGGGTCCTTTATAGGCCAGAATTTTAAGATTCCTGAAATGAGATCCACGGAGGGAGGGTGTGCTCTGCCCAAAGATGAAAGCAGAGCAACATCTTAACCAAGTGCTACTCACATGAATGCCTTTTCACCTTCCAGTTTCCACCCCAAAACATGTAGTCATTGGGCAAAGAAACTGTTATGTGCTGATTAGGAAGCAGATGTAGATCCCGGTTCCAAATCTCAAAGTGATGGATCTTCAGGCTAGGGAAAGAAGGCAGATTGTCAAACCCAGAAAGGCCAGAGGCATGTCTGTCTCTGAGTAGGTTCCAAAAGCTCCCTCTAACCTCTTAGAGTCTCTTTCAGTTGTATCACCTAAGCCTCAGAGACCATCTGGTCATCTCCTGTATATGTTTCCAGATCGCTCCATCCTCTGGGAAGCATTCCCAACCCTCTGAGGCCAAAGACTTCTCCTCGCCTTTAACCACACATCTGCAGCTAGCTTCTTCTGTCCCTGGTGATCTGGCCCTCAATGCTGCAAACACCCTGAGTGGTGAAAGGGAGAGCAAAATGCTTGTACAGTCTGAAATGGACTTTGATGGTACTTCAAATCTTTTGATTGTTCTTTAATAAAAATGTACATATGTTTTAGATCTGACTCATTTCATAGGGATTTCACAAAAAGTTAAAACCGTTTCATGGGATCTGTTGATTTAACCTGTGGGCAAACTGCCCATAAGCTGATGACAAATGGAGTCTCTCTCCGCTCGCCCTGTTCCCTGATTGCCGAGCTCACTGGAATGGCTTGTGTGAAAGCAGTAAAACCATGTGGAAATTGTGTGAGAAAGACAAGGGCAACTCAAGCCAGAGCTGGGCACCTGGTGATTGGATACTGGCAGGGTTTCTTCTTTTTCTGTTCTTGTGAGAAGTGCTGGCAGACTTGTCATCTGCTGAGGAGTTGCACGGGGATGTAGGGGCCTTCTGGAGAACGACGGTTAAGATCACGACTTCTACACATCAAGGCAACTGGGTGGCTAGGGTGGCCTTAAGGATATGTGGTGCAAGAGAAGAGCCCCCCGAGAGTAAAAGCGCCTGGCTTTGCATTGTGTGTCCTGTCTGTCAGCTGGCCCTTTCCATTCTGTCTCCTTATTGCTTCAAACAGGAAACCATGGCTAAAGGCTGAGGATGCAGCATAGTGGCACATCATGTGGTGATCATGTGTGAGGCCCCGATTCTATCCTCAGACACACTAAAACCAAGAGAGAAATAAACAACCACCATTGTCACAATTTAGATCAGAGGTTACTCAGTAATTTGTGAGTTGTATGGTGCCTATAGCTCTATCTATCTATCTTTCTTTCTTTTTTCATTGCAGTTTATTTTTTGAGAC